GGAGTCCCAGATCCTACTGACATTTCAAGAATGATGTCACTTACTCCTCTTCTCCTTCCAGTCCCCACTTAATGTCCTCACTCAAGAGAGTGGCATTGTCCTTAGTTCAGGGGCCAAAGACGGAAATCTGGGCTTCGTCTTGCCCCATACATTCAAACCAAGCCCAGTTCATTTTAGTCCCCAGTAGCTCTAATGCTACACTCAGTTCAGACCCTCATCACTGGTGTTTTGATGTTTGGTCTCCCTACTTCCAGTCTTACCTGAGGATATTGTATTTCTGCTCACAATTTTGATGGCAACATGTCAACTCTGAGCTCAGCCCTATCTCGCATCCTCACCACCAACCAATCACCAAGGCCTCTGATTTTACCTCCCAAATATCACTCAACTTTGAGTGTCTCCAAACCCAATGCATGCCCTTGTTGAGGTCACGATCACCTCTCATCAGATGAGAGGATTACTCAGGGTTTGGCCGTTTGTCTCCACTCCCATCCCTCAGGACAAAGTGTTAACTCCTTAACACAGCTGACAGGCTGCTCACTAAGCTGTCTCTCACCTCCTGCCTCCCTGCTCTCTACTGATAACCTCCATGCTGGGCCTTCACATAGACTACTCTCCTGTCTAAAACATTCTTACATCTCTCCCTTTGGCTAACTCCTACTCATCCTTCAGGTCTCAGCTTTGATATATACCAAACAACAACACTCTCATAAAACTGGACATACTTCCCCCACGAGCAGGAGATGCTTCTTCCCCAGTCCTGACATCTCCCTACTGAGAGAAGCTCAGGTAGTACAACTCCAGTCAACCTGCTAGGGACGTTTGGATGCTTGTCCCTTGAAACCTCATGTTGAAATGTGATCCCCAATGTTGGAGGTGGGGACTAATAGGAGGTGCCTCGGTTATGGGGGCAGATCCATCACGAACGTCATAGTACCATCCTCATCCTGGGAGTGGCAAGTGAGTCTGCACTCTTAGTTCCCACTAAAGCAGGCTGGGAAAGAACCTGGCACCTCCCAAGACCCTCTTACTTCCATCTCTGCAAACTCCAGTTCCCCTTCACCTTCTGCCACAAGTGCAAGCAGCCTTAGGCCATCACCAGATGCAGATGCTCAGTCTTGAACTTGTCCAGGCATCAGAATCATGAGCCAAACAAACCTTTTTCTTTATAAATTACCCAGCCTCAGGTGTTCCTTTATAACAACACAAACTGAGGTACAATCTGTCCCTGCAGAGACAGTTGATATGACCGGTAAATTTTGACAGGATCGTTGGGTATGAACAGTCCTCCTTGGTCTCCCTCTTGGGAGCCAGCTGCCTTCAGAGGGCAATATTCGGCCTTCCTCCAGAGTTATGTAAGTCTGCCTACTTCGGGAGATGCAGCTGATGGGCCCAGCTGCCTCTCACAAACCACAATAAAAGTGATACTTTGGCTTCCACCTTTACTCATTTTTCAGACTGGAAAAAAACGGATGCTATTTATTTGGGATCCCCCCCAAAAGCAAGAACACCCAACCTAACATGCAGCACATCACACCATAACACCATTGGACTCTAAGCTTCCTGACAGCAGGGATCAGCTCTTCTTCTCACCCTCATATCCCTAGTAAGGTGCCTAGCAAAAAGTAAATGCTCAATTTTCTACATAAATAAGAAAAGCCCACCATGCACTGTCCCCCAGCAACCTGACTGATCTCATCTCCACACGCTTCTCTGTTCCCATACTTCACCAACTCCACAATACCTAACCACTTGAATTTTTATAAATAAGCCACTCCTTCACTTCTTAATACATGCTATTCCTTAGGTCTGTATTGCCATTGGGACCACACAAATTCCATCTCCTGGTTTAACAGTAGGCTACTGGGGCCACCTCCTCCATGAAGCCTACCTTGCCTCCTCTAGGTATGCAGTTTGGGTCATATACGCATTATAATACACATCTGCATCTTCACAGTCTATTGATGTCTGCTGGTGACTCACTAGAGTACCATTTTTCAGATTTCTTTGACTGTGAAACATAGCAAGAAATCTGTTTTATATAACAACATACGCATGTTCATAGCAACACAGTACACATATTCATTCATGTAACAGATACTTGTTACATGTTTACTCTATGCCAAGCACTGTTCTAGGTATAAACAGTGAACAAAACAGAAGAAAATATTTGCCTGCATACAGCTTATATTCCAGAATTTTACACTGAATAAAGAAATACTTAGGCTTCCAGATTTTAAAAAATATATATAGAAAACACATCTAGCTGGTTTTATACTGCTCCAAGACAATATTCATCATGAGAAAGCAATGAAACAAAGTTGACTACACTCTAAGGGAAAATGTGACATCCAAGTAAAATTATGCCTATCCATCCTTTTACCAGAACAGATGCCTGGAATGATGTTCACCAAATGTTAAACCTAGTTAATTCTGGGTGGCCAGTTTGAGGTCATATGTTACTTTGTTTTTTTAACTGTATTGCTGAATAATAGAGGCCAGGAACCATTTTTCTAAAAATAGTGATTTTATTCTTGATAGTTACTACTTTTTTTTTTTTTGAGATGGAGTCTCACTCTTTGAGATATATAATAATATATAAAATAAAATATATATTTTATTACATAAATATATATAAATTATATGTAAAAATAAAAAATAATATATAAAAATATAAAACAAACCACCTTACTACATGAGATGAATTTAGATATACTCTATTCTATTCCAATTTTTTTTTTTTTTTGAGATGGAGTCTCACTCTATCGCCAGGTTGGAGTGCAGTAGCGCAATCTCAGCTCACTGCAACCTCCGCCTCCTGGGTTCAAGCGATTCTCCCGCCTCAGCCTCCCAAGTAGCTGGGGCTACAGTCATACACCACCACGCCCAGCTAACTTTTGTATTTTTAGTAGAGACAGGGTTTCACCATGTTGGCCAGGATGGTCTTGATCTCTTGATCTCATGATCTGCCCGCCTCAGCCTCCCAAAGGGCTGTTTTGCTCCATTAAATTGATTTTAAGGCCTACTCATTCGTTATTACTTGTGGCTTAAAAAACATATATGAGACTATACTGCATTGAAGGTAGGAATGTCTTTCAACCACAAATTGCCAAAGAATGCCCAACACTTAGTAGGTACTTAATTAATTAGTGTTTCCTCATAAACAACTGAATGACTGAATGTTTTCCTCAATAGAACTGAGAGCAACTTGACAGCAGTTGAGAGCAGGGCTCATATTTTTTATATCTTGAGTCTCAGGGCATAGCACAGGGCCAGACACAAAGCCAGTCCTCAATAAATACTTATTAAATTGAAATGAGGTCTACTCGTCAGCAGCACAATTTAATAGAGCAATTCACAAATAGGTTTTAAAACAAATGAAACATTTGCCTTGGTTCTTGGTAACAAAAATATTCAAATTAGGGGTTTTAATTATAACAACTTGTATTTGCCCACGAAAACATGATGTTCCCTGGAACAACCTCCCACTTCACAGATGTAAACACTTCTCTTCTCCCAGGAATTCAAACTTGAGGCTACATGTGCTAGGAAGGGGACAAACCACACTAACAGGTGCCTCTCTTGCCTCCCAACCTCGATCCTCAAAACTGCCACTTTTTTTTTCCGCAAAGAAATTTCAAAATTGTCAGATTACAATTAAGTTTTAAATGAGTTCATTTTCTCCCTCTCAAACTGTATTGTCTAATGGTGTCAGAAGAGCTCGGATAAGGTCTGTGTGACCTTATTACTACAATCCTAATGATGTGTGTTAAAAAATAAAATCTCTGAAGACATCACAGAGCTGTTGCAGGTTTCAAATGAGAAAGGTCTCTGAGAAAGAATCAGAAAATATAGGCTTCCTTTAAAATGATCTATAACCCAGTTTTCACAGGGAGGAAAAAAAAAAAACAAAACTCAGCAAACACCTAACCCTGAACAAATCTCACTTTTTAAAAGAAAGATCTCTTACTTGAGGGAACCACCATACTAATTCTTTGTATTCCTATTTGGAACTACTGCTGCCCATATTTTTTGAAAAAGAACACCATGGCTGTCTATTCTATCAAATCAAAAGAAGTTTTTTCACAGTTGAGGTATTAATTTTTCTGCCTGGCTAAAGAAAACGTGCTTTTCAGTTTACTTATTACAATTTTGTAATTTAGATGTGCGGAGGGCTTGTCTTGGATATTGTTTTTGTTTGTTTGTTTTTGTTTCTCTTTCCTCTTCCTGTTTTCACTCGCAGTATTTTATTTCCATTATGGGTGCAATGGAGACATGCTGACAGGAGTGTAGGCGAGAGAGGGGGGGAAGCCAGGGTGAGACGGACCTCTCCCAGCTATACATCTGGGAAGGTGAGTCTATAAACAGCTGGGGTTTTGTTTTTGTTTCATTTTTATGAGAATTTGTTTGTATTAGTGTTTAATTCCATAACACATAGATGGGCTTTCCTCATAACAAACTACGTCAAAGACCAGTGCTCGCTCGGCCTGGTCCCTCTCTCACCCCTTAATGGACGGGCGAGGGCCATATTCTTCCCTACCTCTTCCTACCTATTTACACACAAGTTGGAAACTTGCAGAACTGTGAAAACTTCGAAAATCACGTGTCTTCCCTATTCCCCTACACACATCAGGGCTTCATCTGAGAGTGGAATACGACCTGGGCCCCGGTGCTCACTCCTGGCATTGCCCTTCGCCCCGGGACCTGGTGGCCCTCTCTCTGCGCCCCAAAACGCCCTGTCCTAGCTCCCTGAGCCCCTGGGACGCCGGGTCCTCTCTTTGTGCCCCAAGACCTCCTGCCCTTTCTCTTGCGCCCCGAGACGTCCTGTCCTCTCTTCCGCGCTCCGGGTTGCTCTGTCCTCTCTCTTTGCGTCCCGGGACGCCTTGTCCTCGCTCCCCGAGGCCCGGGACGCCTTGTCCTCGCTCTCCGAGGCCCCGGGACGCCCTGTCCTCTCTTTTTGCGCGTCGGGACGCCCTGTCCCGCGACCCCCGCCGCCTTACCCGCCGAGGAGCGAGGCCACAGGGCAGCCGCGACCCCAGAGCAAAGAAAACCCTGGCCTGCAGCGTCATGTTGATTCTCCGGAACTCGGGCCGGAAGGCGGCGAAGGCGGTACAGCGCAGGGGGCGGGACAAAAAGAACAAAGTTCTTGCGGCTGGGATCGCTGCCTGGGCTGCCGGGAGCTGGGACCGGGACTGGGACCCAGGCGGCGAGGACGCCCCGCGGCCCTGACCTTCAGGTTCGGGCCGAGGGCGCCGCCTAGCTCTGCCTGGCCGATGCTCTCTTCTGCTCTCTGGTCCGGCCGGGAGTGCTTTGTATAGCAGAGCACGGAGGTCTCTGTGTCCTTGAGCGGGTGGACGAACCCCTGCGCCCTGCAAAGGTTTGCAGATTGCAGCTGCGCGTCCCCTACACTGCCCACCAAGGGCGAAAACCTTTTTCAGTAGTATATGTTTATCCCTTAAGTGCGTGTTTAAGTGCGGAGTCCGCGTGGCGCCAAGTCACATATTATCAGAATAATATGTTGGATGTAATTTCCGTAAGGCTAAGAGCCTGAAAAACACCAAGGCCAGCTGCCGGCGTTTTGACTTTTCGCAGGACACACCGCCCCCTGTCGCCGAGATGCAGCGTGGCTCCGCCGCCCAACCTTGGCTTTTTTCTCGAAGTTATACACACGTTAAAGGCAAACGCAGATTCAGTATATCATTCTCCATCTTAGTGTAATATACCTGTTGACACAAGGCATTAGCTCAGATCACATTTCTTTCCTCATTCGTAAAATGTGAATATTCATGGCTAATTCAGGATTTTAGATAAAAGAGGACGGGTGTGAGGCCCCAGGCTCAGGCTGGTGATAGATGATACTGAGTGTTTACTACGTGCTGGAATTTTCCAAATGCTGATAAAGAAGGCAGCCCTTGATATTCAGAACCTGGCCCGGGACTCACAGCTAGATCATACTAATCTATTAAACTTAAACCTTCACACAGAATACCAATTCAGACAAGGTTGCTCTGCGATCATAATAAGGTGAGGCAAAGCAAGTCAACTTCATAGTTCTAAGCACCAACAAAAACAACTCATGGTGCCACCCACAAAACACCAAACACAATGTCTCTTGGCCAAAATGAGTTGCTATTTCTTTTCCAATTACAACTTTAACCTCATTCTACCTATAGACTTAATCTTCCTTCATTATAAGTAAGATTCATTGAGATTCTCACAGAATTGCCCGCCCTTTCTGACAACATCCATTCTAGAGTGAACCCCAACTTCCTTAGGCCATCTCCTAAATCATTTGAAATCCAAACCCTGTAAGAAGTTCTTTCTAACATTCTAACACCTCTTACTGAGACACCCTATAATTTTTCATGGCATGTGTCCTTCACTGCAAAAAAATAATAAACCCAACTGGTTTATTTGTCAACTGCAGATTTGTCCCTGGTTATCTTTGGCTGGAAGGCCTCGACAGTGCCCTGAAAGCAGTATTAATTCATTGTCTCAGTGTTGATTTTCCTGAAGCAGACTCTGAGGCCGGTATCCAGTGCAAGTGACCCATTTGAGAACCTGGGGAAGCACTAGCAGGGAAGAGAAGGTAGGCAACCCAGGTAAGTCATCCAGGTGTCTGGCAGTGGGCTACTAGAGCTTAATGCCACAGGGGAAACTCTGGGTGGAAATGGAGAACCCACGCCTCAGAGAAATCCCATCCAAGGGATGAGGAAGCTGGGGTATTAGCACACAAACTCTCATGCCAACGGTTGAGGGCCAGGACTATTGATTCCCCAGCACTCTGGCCTGTGACAGTAGCATCAGGGCTTGCTTCAGAAAAAGACCTCAAGAAAAGTGACACAGACACTATCGTTGGAGTTAGATGGTGCCCTGAAATAGTGTTTACCACAAACTTAGCTGCAATAAAAGTCTGACTCCCTTTTTTGACGTTTGATTGCTGATAGTTCTTCCCCTGTTTCCCGCATCTGGGCAAGTCGATAAGAAAGCCCAGACGCTCCCTCCTTTGGCTCTGGCAGCCAAGCCCTTTCTTGTGTGTGGAAACTGTTTGTCCAGCCCAATCCCCTAACCATTATAAAAACCCCAAAACATTTTTTCCTTGCTATATTAGTTTTCTAGGGCTGCCACGAGAAAGTGTGGCAGGCCAGGTTTCACTAATGCAGGCCTCCATCACAACTGTTTCAGTAGTGACTGAGTGGATAAGTTAAATATTAAAAGCTAAAAAAAAAAACCAATGTCCTTATACAAAGGCTGGGATGTAACAAAAGCCCATCAGCAGTTTTTCCTAGACCTTTCCTGGGCCTTAAACTTAAAGCATGACAAAATAATGAAGGATTCTTAACAGGACCCATTCAGGATTAAACAAGTTTTATTGGGGGCCTGAAGAAACTCCCCAGGCCTCCACAAACAAGTCTATTGGAGGACTGAAGGAACTCCCTAAACCTCCGTAATCTAGCAGGAGACAAAATAAGGGTAATCACCCAGCACCTAGACCCATTTAGACTAAGTAAATTTACTGAGGCTCCAGAGGAAGGTCTTCAGTACTCAGACCTTAGTTATAGATTAAAAGAAGTTAATCACTTATGTCTTTAGATGAATGTACACTTACATGTAGACATATAGCTTGGAAAGTATATAAACTCTGAAAAACTTTGTAATTTTGAGTTGGTCTGGTGATAATTTCCAAGCCTGTAACTGGTTACAGAAATAAAAACTTTCTTCCTCCCCAGTTCATCGGCATCTCATTACTGGCAGCAAGAAATAGCAGCTGACCCTCAGTTTGGTCCAGGAACAAAACTACCACAGATTGGGTGGCTTAAATGGAAATTTGTTTCCTCACAGTTCTGGAGGCCACAAGTCAGCAGAGCTGGTTTCTTGTGGAGCCACTGTGGGACCATCTTCTCCCTATGTCTTTACATGATCCTCCTGTGCACCTTTCAATTTCTAAATTGCCTCTTCTTATGAGAACACCAGTCGTGTTGGATTAAGGCCCACCCTCAATGACCTAATTTAACTGGAATTATCTCCCTAAAGACTCTATCTCCAAATATAGTCACATTCTGACGTATTGGGGGTTAAGAGTTCAATGTATATATTTGGCTGGGAGAAAGGAGAAGTAACACAATTCAGCCCAGAACACTTGCTCTCTTAAATAACTTTTAGACTAACTTAGGAGGCCTGTTCTGTCCTCCCAAAAAAAAAAAACCTTGAGCATATATCAATAATAAACCTTTTGCTACGCTCTTGATATATGTATAGGGGCACTGTCATTCTTGACTTCCAAACCAAATTTTAAGTGGGGTTCATCTTGTTTCTAAGAAGTTGCAACATTAGTGATACGGTTTGGATTTGTATCCCTACCCAAACCTCATGTCAAATTGTAATCCCCAGTGTTGGAATTGGGGCCTGGTGGGAGGTGACTGGATCATGGGGGCAGATTTCTCCCTTTGGTGCTATTCTCCTGATAGAGTTCTCAGGAAATCTAGTTGTTTAAAAGTGTGTGGCACTTCCCACCCTCTCTGTTCTTCCTGCTCCAGCTGTGTAAGACAGCCTGCTTCCCCTTCGCCTTCCACCATGATTGTAAGTTTCCTGAGGCCTCTCCAGTCATACTTTCTATATAGCCTACAGAACTGTGAGTCAATTAAACCTCGTTTCTTTATAAATTACTCAGTGTGAGGTATGTCTTTATAGCATTGTGAGAATGGAGTAACACAATTAGTAACTTAAAACAATCATTTATTATTTCACAGTTCACAGGAGTCAGGAGTCTAAGCACAGCTTAGCTGAATCCTTGGCTCTGGGTCTCAGAAGACTTCAATCAAGGTGTCAACTGGGCTGTTTTTATCTGGAGTCCCAACTGGAGAAGATCTGATCCCAAGCTCATCCAGATTGTTTCCAGAATTATTTTCCTCATAGCCATATGACTGACAGCCCCAGATTTTTGCTGGATGTTGGCTGGAGTTGCCTTCGGCTTCTCGAAGTCACCTCCATCCCTTCCCATGCTGGCTTCCTCAGTAGACTGCTTACTACATCAAGCCAGCAAGGATAATTTTGTACCTCAGGGAGGCCCCAGCCCATCTTTTAAGGACAATCATCAGATTAAGTGAGGCCCACTGAAAATAGTCTTAATCTCCTTTTGATTAAATAAAATCAACTGACTTGGGACTGCAAACCAAAAAGTGACTGAGGCAGGTCTCTGTCGGTTAGAGATCATTTAGCCAAGGTTGAGGACATGTCTGGGGAAAAAAAATGCAACTCACAGAAGCATCTGTAACCTATGCTTTTTCCAAAGGGGGTTTTGGGAAATTCTTTATTTAAAAAAGAAGAGCAAGCAGGAGAAAAAAAAAAAAAAAAGGAAAAGAGGGTAGACAGTGAGGCAGATGGTTCCAGTCTTTTGAGACTCTGATTAGCCTCAGTAAATCTACATTTTACATAAGATAAAATAAACTTGTGAAAAGAGGGAGTAGACGAAATGATGTTATGTCCTGGGATTATGAAATTACAGCTATTGGTTTGGGAACAACAACAAAAAGACAGTATTGGTGACTGAGTTCCCAAGCTTAACTTTCCTTATGGCATAGTGAGTGCAGAGTCCCTATATTCTGTTTTTCTTTCACAGGATCTTAGTTGCATCTGCAAAATTCTTTCACCTTTGCCACATACTGTTAACTAGAAGTGAGTCACAGTTCCTATCCATACTCAAGGGAAGGGAATTATACAGAGCATGAATACCAGGGACTGGACTAATGGGACCATCTGAGAACTCTGTCTACCACAACCATACACTAGACATGAAAAAGAAGGTTGCAAAAGTTTTAGGTAGACCCCCCGTATTAGTCCATTCTTGCATTCCTATAAATAAATATTGAAGACTGAGTAATTTATAGGAAAAGAAGTTTAATTGGCTCATGGTTCTGCAGGCGGTATAGGAAGCACTGTGGCATCTGCTTCTGGGGAGGCCTGAGGAAGCTTCCACTCATGGAAGGCAAAGGGGCACACTTTTAAATGACTAGATCTCAGGAGAATTCCCTCACTATGGCAAAGATAGTACCAAGTGGAATAGTGAGTGCTAAACCATTCATGAGAAACCTGCCCCTGTGATCTAATCACCTTCTACTAGGCTCCACCTCCAACACCAGGGATTACATTTCAATATATGGAATTTGGGTGGGGACACACATCAAAACTGCATCACCCACACTGTACAATCTGTCAGAGGGAAATAGCTACATAAAACACTTAGGCAGCCTGGACTCTGGGTTCTGTTTTACTATGTTCCCCAAGCTTGGTACAGAAGCAGAGGG